GGGCTCAGGGTCATGCTCGTCACTGGAGATACATGAAGCATGTTCTTGCTCGTCGGTAGTCCGGAGTCCTACGAAAGCCGACGTCCACGCTGTGCAGAACAAAGGGGCTGGTCTGAACGAAAACCCTCCGTGCAACATGGTGCCACCAGGGCTCTGTGGTTTTGCGCCCTGCAGCAGCTTTTCGTGCAGCGCAGCCTCCTCAACCTCCACAAGTCGCAATTTACACACTCACAACTCGGACTTGCTTGGAGTTTTCAAAGTTTCGGTAACTGACCTCCAGCCCCTCCCAAGCAAACTGATGCAAAACATATTGTGTTTTGTGGACATCCTCGCACAGACGGCTTCAGTGTCGAGCCAAGCGGAGGCGACTGGGCCTTACACTCGACAGGGAACATCACACCGCAAAAACATCTAGAATCTACCTGAAGGGCTTCAAGGCAAGCCAAAGCTCTAACCTTGAAACTCTGAACGGCTAAGCTCTTTCGCTTCTTGATTCTGAAGCCGGGTTGGGTTGAAGAGGAGAGGGTACTAGGGGCTTAGGACAGGCTTAGGAAATTTGGGGAACCTTAAGGAGTACGGGCGAGAAGTTGGGATTACCAGGCCACCAGGCTATATGCCCTCCTTCCATCCCCTCTCTTTGGGATTTAAGTTCTTTGGGGGAGAGCCAGCGCACAGGATTCCATGATTCTAGTTCTTCGATCCCTATACCGTTGAAACCTAAGACCTTCAAACCCTGCGTAAGCGTACGCTGCACCTTCTGCAGCAACTCTTGGCCGTTTGCTCCCTGCAAGACATCCGCACGAGTCGCACAGGAATAGGCTTACAAGTAACACGTATAGTCTGCTCAAAGCCGAGATGTCACAAAGGGCTTTTGCAGAAAGGAAATGCCCCAAAGGATCAGGATCTCGCCACACCCACATTGAAGGGCTTTAGTTTCATGGTTCAACTTCACCGTCACCGACAGATCTTCTGTACATGGGCCCTGGCCACCCAACAGAGGAACCAATAATGCCGACCAGAGAGCCAAGGGCATGTCCGGCGGCCAGTTCTGCCCTTGTCCGCCCAATGCTCGTTAAGGAAAAGGCCTTGTGCTAGATCCCAGGCCCAGGGTTTAAAACCCTAAACCCCACGCTCAAACTCCAAAACCTGAGCTCCGGAATCTCAGGGCGGGCCTCCGGCTTGGGTCCATCCGGCAGCACCTAGCTACATTCCCCGAAGCAGGCCTACTCCCAGTCCTAGGTCTTATTTGGCTCGGAGACAGTACAGCAAACCTGGATTCAAATCAAGCACGACGTGAAACCAAGCCAGCATGGGAGTGTGAGCAAGGAGTGCGGCTCTCTCTCAAAAAGTCAAAAAGCATAGGCCGGACGGCCCAGTGAGGCTCCGGCTTGGCCCCCTTTTTGGTGTCGTACCTGCTCCAGCTCCTGCAAGTGAAGCAAACGCTCGTGGGGCTCGCTATATCAACCGTCCCATTACGATATCGGAAAAACCTGCCCAATATCGCCGAACCTCACGCATCTGCTGCTGGTTCAGCAGGAGCGACGCCAGCATGCCGGAAACCTGAGGTTGAGTTCGATAAAGAGTTTTCACGTCCCTGCATCAAGGGGACAAGGATTCAGAGAAAGGCGGCATTCCGGAAAGCGCCCTCCATTCCATGCCACATAAAGAAGGAGTGCATAGCATGCCGTCTTGACAGAACATACATGCCGACTTACAGGCCTGCAGAAACCATTCAGGACAAACTTCACTGAACATGAAAAGATACTTGACTTTACTATGCAACGCCTCCGACGCATTCTCGCACCCAGAAACAGTTGAATGCCCCCACAACAACGCCTTGACTTCTTGCGAAACTCATCACCTTGATCTCGTCATCTGCCACCCATTTTTGCACTGCCTCCTCGCACCAGGATGTGGCATTTCCGGCTGGGGCTTACATCTTGGAACGGCACCTGAAGTCCCATGTTGAGTGCAGAGGTAGTAAGGCTATGTGGGGCCTCAAAGTGTTGAATTTCCAATTGTTCTAATTATACCGGCTTCATGCACGAAAGATCATACGAGCCTCAGTTTCTCCGAGCCTACCAAGACTTGACAGACACTTGGGCGATCTTGGCTTCAACAAATCCCTAGACTTGGAAAATTCGTATCCAACTTCAAGCGCTCCTGGACGATGCTCTGGTACAGTCTCCCATCGTAGTGCTGTGTCGGTGCACCGTCGCCGGCTCGGTCCACTATCTTTGCCACCTGCAGGTTCCAGGCATTCAATCTCTATTTCTAGGGCACGCAAGCTGTACCCGGACCTTGCTACTACTGGCACGACTGCTGCCCCTACGACGACCACCGCTACTCAACTACTAGGCTCGTCTTCCGAGCAGACACTCAGCAAATCCGAAGCCTCGGAACGACCCAGAGCCGTGTTGCACGGCATGTCCATTGAAAATGCTCCAACAGTGTCCGACACATCTCTAGCCGAAGCTTGCCGTCTCATGAACGCCTCCTCCTTCGCCAGGCTGGCGTTAAGACCACGCATCGTAGACATCACTTTAGCGATGACTGCCTTGGCAAATTTGTGAGAACTTGTCACTGGAACAACATGTTCGCATTCCGCACACTTCGACACGTCCTAAGCGGTTCTAACCTGGCTTGCAAACGTCACTTCTCTCCGTGCCTCGCGGGTGTAAGACCTGGCCAGATGACGTGTGCTGACGAGGTGTCTCGAGCATAGGGTGTTGGAATTCAAAAGGGATTCTGGCAAGCTTCAAGATTTGTTGAAGAGGTTTCAGTCACCGAAATTATGCCGGTGCTGATTTCACACTCTTCATTTCTGCCTTGGGGATCAAAGGCAACAAAGGCGGGCTTCGGTCTACATACACATCGACCAAGTCTGGTCGATCCAGTCTTTCCGGTTCTTGAAAATCCTCTTACCTATCTAGCCTGGCTAATTTGTTTGATCCTTGGACAGGAAGAATGGTAGGCTGATGGCACATCTGACCGAGTGGCTGCGATCAGAGCCCGTGCCTGCAATAGTCTAAACGTGTCAAACTTATCCAATCCCGTCCACCTGATCTATTTCGTCATCCAGTCTGTCGATTTGTCTGTATATCAATCCATCTCAAGCAGTTGACAGGTAAGACAACTGTTTGATTGGCTGGTTTCTCTAGCTCACCCATCAGAGCAGAACCAGGAGTCATGATCATCTAGTGGTGCTGGACATGCTGAGGATGGTGGTGGTAGTGGCGAAAATGTTCATGCTGGTGGCCCTGCAAATTTCGATGTCGGAAACAGAGAGAGAGAGAGAGAGAGAGAGAGAGAGAGAGAGAGAGAGAGAAGTCGTCTCCCGGCAAGGAGGCGGGCACCCGCGTAGTCTCCGCCCCGAAGGGTTAAGACGCAAACGCGGCATGGGGCCCCGCGATGTCGGAAACAGGTGCTGTTGATACTGATGCTGCCGCTGATGTTAATGCTGGCGGGGTATCTTCGCTATTACCACACTACTACTACTGTTAAATTATGATTAGTATACCTACTACTACTACTACGATCATTATTCGTAGTATTGTTGCCGTGACTATTGCCAGTATTATTTCGTCGAGACATGCACAAGCGAGACCTGAGAGATGAACCGCTCGCGTCCATGGCGCAGACAGGTCGAAGCCGATCGCAGCAGGTTTTTCTTGCTAGTTATATTTTTCTTGCTGCTGTTATTACTGTTACGAATCTTATTATTCTTCTTGGTATTGTGGTCGTTGGTTCTGTAGGAACGTAAAGCCAACACTCCAGGATGCTTCCCCTTGCAAAGGTACCGAAGCGCCACTTACTGCAAGCACTAAACTCAACCTTGGGGGCGAGAGACCTTGCAGCGCAAATACACATGCTGTGCCTCGAATCTGCCGGACTTCGTGCCGAAAAAGCTTCGGCAACATCTCTGGGGTTTTAGCACCCACACTTGGGGAAAAGCTCAAGCTTGTGGGAGCAATGCCAGGCTTCCCGTTTTCAGTGCCACTTAGCCTTGGGGCACTGAAGTCTAAACACCCCACGATGAGCTGCGCTGCCCTGGCACTTGTCTTGTCGCGCTTGACAAGACCGGCTCAAGTGTGTGCCTGAGGTTGGGTTAGATGCTCTGGGCTGATCCAAAGCTTACCTTATGAATATGCTATAGCTGTTGAAACTCATGTTCATTCTTAGAGGCTATTGTTATTGCTACTGCTATTGTTAGTGTTATTGTGTTTCGTTTGTGCCATTGTTCTTGTTATTGACATTGTTGTTGTCATTGGTATTGCCTTTGTTATGGTTAATTTTGCTGTTATTGTTTATTGTTTGTGTTACTGTTATTGTTCTTGTTATTCTTGTTGTTGCTGATGCTATGGCTGTTGCTATAGAATATTATTATTACTCATACCACTTTTATAATTGCTACTGTGAATATTCTGTTACTATTATTAATACTAATATTGCTGTCATTCTCATCATCTTAACTGTCAGTTGTTCATTGTTAGCTATGCGTTACTAGTTATTACTTACTCGTTAGTGGTTATTAGCTATTAGTTGATAACATGTTTAAACATAACCTTATACTTTTTATCTGTATTTGTCATTCTCCGAAAGATCAGAGAAACAGATCAGCCTGTTGCACGAGGCTCGGGGCTGCGAGCTCTGAGCCTCTGGCTGTCCCATCTTTGGGGCACGAGTCCCTGTTCCATCTTTGGGAGACGGGCTCAGTCTGCTACACGAAGCCTAGGGGTCTCTGATTTATTTCCCGATGTTGGCAGTGCAATCCGAGGTTTGCCTCTGTGTAGGAGTAGAACTTTCGGACATCCTAGGACTGGAAAATGTGCCATCTCACTTCGGAGAGAGTCGCCAGCATTAACGGTGTTCAACCTCAACTTGAACTCAACCGGACGGGTCATCAGCCTCTTGTGCGCAGAGCTTGGGCTTGGAGAAGTTTTATTCTTGCAAAGGTTCGAGTTTGTGTTGTGGCCGCGGCCGCCGGGCAGCGAGCCCAGCTACATCTCCTCGTCACCTCGGCGCGACGCGTCTTGCAAGAACTCCTCTTTGAATCCCTCATGCGCAGTAAGCTTTAGCACCAGGCCTGGGAGCAAGGATCTGAACTTCAGTCTGACATTGTCTGAAAGGAGGGCAGGTCTGACTAGGTGGCTAGACTTTCGACTCATGCGAACCACATGCGCTGCATACTCAACCACACATGTCGCACTGTGCTCTGTATTTGTGAAGATGCCCTTTCCGGACCCGCATAGGCTTTGCTGGAGAAGCGGCTGTCGTACGCAGAGAAGTCCACGCTGGAGCCGGAGCCCGAGCCGCTGGAAGTTCGTCTGATCATCTTCCGAGAGCTCCACTGTTCGTCCTGACAAACACCGAGGTGAGGGGGTCATTCTGTTTCGCGTGTGTTGCTTGCTGGACGCACATATGTTGTCGCCGCCGTCTCCAGAGGAGGGAAAAACTGCTAACGTGGCTACTTCATCCGGTCTCCTGAAGCCCAGCTGGGGCGTCCTAGTTTGGCTTGCACACAAGAGACCAGCATACCAAGGACCCCGGAGAGACTACGGGGTCGCGAGTTTAGCGCATGCTGATCACGAAGAACAGCAACCCCGAGAACTCCTTGACGTTCCACTCACCGACTCCGTCTGCCCAAGGCTTGTAGTCTTCGGAGGGAGGTTTGAAACTCCATTCCTGGCGCCGAGTAGAGACAACTAGGGATGACTGCCTGCTCCACTCTGGTTTCTCTGATTCTTGTGCATATATCTATATCACATAGAAAGCCCTGAAACAATACGAAATTCAATTGCAGAGCCCCCGCGATACATCAACAACCGTCGTTTGAATATATATTTATCTACGCAATGCGAAGGGAGCGCAGGGCAAAGGTGATTACCCCAAATCTGCAAATACCAAATACTGTCAATTTTCATGGCAAATATTTCATCCGAGCTAGTACTGATCTAACACGAAAACCGTGAGTACAGATTGCAATAATGAACAGTACATATGCAGCTCGGTATTCACGCGATGAATAACTATTAACACGTTCTCCCGTCAATAGCAAATATCCATGAAATACGGGTTGGAATACGGCTGTGCACTACATACCCTTGAAGGAATACCAAGCCGGTTTGAGTCAAATGTCCTTCAAGACCAAGCAAACCAAACGACCGCCTAGCCGAATATTACGCAAGTATACTCAATCATCACCTACCGCATCGGTAGCGCCAATACATGAAGTGAATACTGTTGGGGCATTAATTCCTAGTTGAAAGCTGCATTCACTGAAACTCAACAGGCTTCAAACATGTCGCAAAAACTCTTGACATATTCACGCGTACATGCGCTGCATGCCACTTCAAAAACCACCACTAGCATTTTCCTATCTCCTCGGAGAAACTCGAGTTCCTGCGCGTACTCGTTTCCACAAGTGTTAAACTGTCCCAAATTCCTTATGTAAACAAACCATAGAATGGATATCCCAGTTTCCCTACTCACCTGCAGGAATTATAAGAAGCTTAAATGATGTACCGTCGTTCCAATAGATACCGCCAACACATTAGATCCCCTACAATCTCTATCGCGAAAGACCATGCGCTGCATTTCGGAATTCTCTAATACATACACCATGCCATGCGCGGGGCCACCTGAATTCGCTAGATTAACTGATTTGCCTAAGTGGATGACCCATCTGAGGGAATTCCCGGGGTTCAGGATGGACATGAGGGGCGAATTAATGATGAAGTAAGGGAATTACAGGAATTACAATAGGAAATATAGGGAAGGTAAGGCGGTAACTACTGCAGGAAGTATGACATGCGTATATGCACATATGCATATATGTCTGACACTACATCTGCCGGTCTGCGTCTCTTTGAACAAATTTAGTTGCAAAAATCCTCAAACACCAACAGTACTCTTCTGGTTTCCCACTTTCGCAGCCCCACCCCACGCCCACGCCCCCGCCACCGTCATCACGTAAAGTCGTAAAGAAGCGGAAACGTTGAGGAGGCTTCCGATTGCAGACTGCAGCTGAGTAGCCCAACAGCCAGAAAGGGATTACAGGACAACAACCCGCTTTTCGTGATGCAACAATGACACCCGAACCGAAGAGCCAAAGACTCATGGGAGAAGCAAAGCAGAAAAGCAGCAACCTGGGAAACGCGTGACGAAGCAACCTAACGATAGAAAAACAGCAACAATGAACAACACGCACTCCTTTTCAGCTTAAGGCCCTCTGGTGTAGCAAGGACCGGGACTTTGACGGATTTTGCCGGCCTTCGTCCCGAGCCTTAAACGGAACAAGCAGGCTTTCGTGGTGATCGCAGGATACCTGACCGTGCTGGAACAGACTCGGCAAACACACAAAGAACGGAAGTAGGAAATGGGCTTCGGGAGGCAACTGTGAAACTTGGGATGCCCGACGCCGGATCCTACAGGCTTTCTGGACAAAGCATCAAGCAAAATTCGACAGATGCGAAGCTTGTGGATGATGGGCCTACTCGCCGCAAGGCCGTAAGGCATGGAGTTTGGAGTTTGGAGTTCAGGCACCAGGGCCTTCTTGATGCAAGGCACAAGTCACGACCGTTCGGCTCGAATTCCATCATGTAATCAGCCTTAGAGAGTTGCGACAGAGGGACACACATGTACCAGACCACAGCAGACTACATCTGTTTCAGTTTAAGAACAAGCTTGCGTCAGAATAGTTCGGTTGGCCGCCGGTCCAAGTCTATGCTTTGCCCTGCTCTCTGCTGCTCATGCCTAGGATTGTCGGGCATTACGATGTCTTGCCTGTCTGCAGGACGCGACTTTTCTAAATTGAATATAATACTCCCCCTACCGCAAACACCACCGGCCGTACCCTTCACAGAATCGGAAACGCGAAGGCAAAATCGCAGAGTTCGAATCTGCCAACCTTCCCCATACAGCTCTACTTTCATCCCCGCACACCTCAGAGCCACCTCAAAACTGCGGATTAAACTCGGAATCGTACCATGGTGCTGCAGCTACGATGCTACAACTGATGGCCCAGTCGCTTCTGTATACCAGGTGCCCTGGTGTGAAAGTTGCATCTTGCCCTCCGTGTAATCCAGTGCCAAGCCCAAGATATCGCCTGGCTCCCACGGTTGTGCTCGGACCTGCGGGGTGTCCGTGGAGCCCTGGAGTTGTGGGTGTAATGAGAAAGCAGTTTCGTTGCAAGCCATGCTTCCCAGTTGGACCGGGGCGTAATGACAAGAAGAACCCCAAGCAGATTGTCATGTGATCTTCCTGTATCAACATACCTCTCCAATGTGCTGCTGCTGCTGTTTGCTCCTAGCAATCCGAGTCCTATCATGATTCTCACCACGAAATGGCCTGCTCTGCTTTTCCAGCCCGGATCTTCTCCATGAATCCCCCGAGCATGCCTTCCCAACACCAAGCTTCTCGATGCTTGCCTGAGCTTACAGTTGCGGAGACTGACGCGAGATATATCATACATCGCCAGAATTAAAGTTTCGTCACGCTTGCTTATGGGATCATGCAGAATACGCGGAGCACCGAAAAAGCGCCTTCTAAGTGACCTGGCTAACAGAGCAATCAATCCACGAGAATGAATTTATACGGAGGCCTGTGCTGAAGGAGTCCACGAGTACAAGAGTCTAAGGGGAAGGGTTTTGCAAGGCGTTCAAGACCAACATGCGAGAGCAGGACGAACTTTCGTCATGACGCACTAGGGATATACAGTATGTCATACGTCTTTCTTTTCATGGACACTTCAACTCAGAACTAAGCTTCTTAACAAGGACCCAGTTGCCCAAGTCCTTGTCTCCCTGAAAGGAGCCACTGGCCCAACCAGCCTGAATCCAGTCAAATGTGGTCAGCAGCTCCAGCTCATAGTAACGTCTCCCAATGCTGCGACCCTCCTTCTCTTTGAGCTTTGCTGTCAAAGATCTCTGGAAGCCTATTTTTTCTGCGTCTTTCTCATCTCCGCCTCTGCCACCGAATTTGTCCAAATTGCTGCTTAGACTGGGCAGTTCCATACGCGTCCACTTCCGCTCGAGCAGGCTTATCAGCTCCTCGTGGTCCGGCTGAGCTCTAGCTGCATGCAAGGCTCGCTGAGCATCCTTCAGGTTGACTCTGCAGTGTTCCAGCAGCCATCTCACAGCTTCCGTCTGTCCATCCCGAGCTGCAGCCGTGATGGCCAAGTCTCTGTTGGCATTGGGCCGGTCTGGGTCGCATCTGGCTTCCAGGAGCACCTCCAATGCCGCAGTGTTGTTGCAGCGAGCGGCGAAGAAGGTGGGCAGCTCGTCTCTCGCGGTTGGTGTTGTGAAATCCTGTGCTGGCTCCACGGGAGACTGCACTCATGGTGCAATCATGGCAGCAGAACAACATGCAAACAACACCCAGGAAACATGTGAAACATTCGGCACACATCGAGAAAACACGGGGCAAGCTAGGACTATATGTGGCAAATGAAAAATTGGGAAGTCCGTGAAATTACGAACATGCCACAACATGTGGGAGGACTGTATGCAAAAACTGCTACACTTGCGAAACTCAGACAGTAGTATCACACTGACTTCGAAGAAATATGTCCATTGGTTCACATCATCTCTACAAGTTGGATTTCAGTTCAATACACCACCTCCGGGACTGTTTACCCGGGCAAAGCACAACTAGCACTAATCTACAACTATCTTTACAGTCTCTTAAAAATGCCACAGATGACTCCCCTCACAGATGTACAAGTTTGGCACATTGTGCTCGCTTGTTGAGTTCATGACATTCTGCAAGGCCGACCGCAACAGGTGCAGAGCTTATTGATCAATAAGGAACCCCTGGACCACAAGAAAAAGGCTCTGATATGCCACTCCAGAATCGCAGCCGGCAACATGCAGCTGCTTCAGGGCTGCAGCCTGCACCTGATCACAAGACTTTCGAAGGCTTTCGAAGGCTTAGAGGTGATGGCTATGAGGATATTGTTCGCATGGGCTTTGTTTTGGCTGTTGGGCCTCCACCTTACAGGCTCTGAAAACCTGGCGAGAAGTCAGTTCATGCACCACCTCATGAACGGCTTGTCCAATGTACATACATCCCGCACACGGGCAGTCACTAGGATTTCTGCCGGACAAGGGGAGTGGAGATTGCTGCAGGCACTGCCGCATCGATGCTAGCAGGCGAGCAATACTGAAGAACGACAGAGCCGGAAGACTGCCATAAAACAAGGACCGAGCCAAGTCTCCCAGGGGTTCCACCAACCGCAAGACCAGAAAATGTTAGGCACAAGTGGCACTAGACTCCAGGCGAAGTCTGTATGATGCATGTCACCTGCGCGATCTCGGAGTCGTCCGTGGGTCGCAGAAGGTATTGCACATCCTCGAGGCGAAGCACTTAGCTAAAACATTTAGGAAGAATGCAAGCCCACAATCAAAGTGAACCATCGTCCGCAACCACCCCATGTTCTTCTTGGTTCATCCCCCCGACAGTCCATTCAAAACCTATTCCCTTCCTGTTTCCTTGCTCCGTGCTTTGCAAGCACCGTTGCCCACAACCTAGTGAGGAAGGTCTCCGCAGCGTGCTCGACTGCCACGAACATTGCTCTTGCTACGAGTGGTTACCAACCGGATATGCTGCTCGTATGCTCAAGGCGGGCGTTCTTTCAACAACCATGCCACTGTTGCGGCCGCAACAACTCAAAGCTGCCGAATGGTTCGGCTCATGCTGCTGTAGGTTACATACGAAAAGAGGAAGATAGGTCAGATAGGCAATGACGAGCCCCAAAGTATTACACAGAATTGGAGGAAGGCAACGTGGAAAGCGGTGCAACTCACCCTAATCCTAGAGTCCTAGACTCCTCATGTTGCCAACTCTGCCGGTCCTCCACTTGCACGGTCTGTGCCGTGGCGTTCTGCTGCAGCAGAATTTGGACAGCTTCACAAGATCCAAGCCGCACTGCAAGCACCAGAGGTGTGCGTCCCTCTTCGTCGCGCGGATTGCAATCGGCATTGAATTGCACCAACAGTCGGCAAATCTGGAGATGCCTTTCTGTTAGATTCTGGTAGCCTCCGATCGGCGACAGAGCCTTGTGGAGCGGGCGCTCCTGACGCAGAAAGCTTCACAGACTTCACTGAACACGAAACCGCAAGACAGGATCGCTGATGATGCATATAAGGACATGACTTTCTTGTCGTTCGGCGAGTTGGCATCCGCGTAGTTTTTGAGCAACTCCAGCACTGAAACTTCATCACCGTCTTGGCAGTACCTGGGTGACCCCTGCACCGTTTGCTTTGATTTACACCAACCCTGGGTACAGCATGCAGGACATCACAGGACTGAATATGTAGATTAGACTTGGGAAGATGTCAAAATGAGATGTGGCTTCTTTTCTGCCATCAAGCTCAGCGAGCTGTGCAACTCTGCCGCAGAGCGTCTGCAACAATTGGCTGTTCTGCTTCAGCTTATCATGGACGACCTTCTTCAGGTTGTCTTGGGCCGCTTTCAAGCGCACCATACCGGCGACCTGGCAGTTCACGTGTAAGGGGCAGAGTGCACCACGTCCTCAACCATGCCCGTTCATGGTTTGCAAACTCCTGCCATCCCTCTGTCCGTCCACCGTTCCCCGAGGACGCCTTAAACGGCGTTTCTACTATGCTTCCCTCAGGCCAGGGATGGCCGCACCTGCGAGAGGATGCAGACCGTCCTACCGATGAACTCGCTGTCTGGCTGGCTCCTCAACTGCAAGAAGCCTCGGGGCAGCATCGCAGCTACTTGTAGCTCGGTCATGGAATGACATAGCACAGAGGAGTCGTGCCAGGGCTGTGTTTCGGAAGGGCAAAAAGCCTCCCGAGGCAAAACACGAAGCGAGCTTCGCTGCAACAAGCAGAAGAGAACATACAAGAAGCTGTCTTTGCAAGCGTCAATGCTGGCAAGGATCCTTGCATCAACGGGACGATGCCATTCGTGTCGGCTGTGTCCACTTCAGCTCTGTGTTCGAGGAGCAGCCACATCGCACGCTCGTACCCGCCCTCCATCGCCTGCAACACCGTGCTGCCATCAGCGTGCTACGGGCAAACCGACAGAAACCCAAACTGCCTTGCTCGATTGTCCTGCCTTATGTGCAGCAAAACAAAAAGATCGGGGAGCTGAGGAAGAGGACTCTTCACTATGCCAGGCATTAAGCATCATGATACGACGGGAACTGTGTCACAATACAAGTCATCAAGACTGTCTCATAATGCCCACCCTGCGAGGAACACTCTGGCGGAGATTGCCCCTGGATTGCTCTCAAACAGATCTGGTTGTGCGCAACGACACTTAGACACAGTTTCCATCACTTTCGCAGGTCAGGATGCGTAGCCTCCACCGTGACACCAACTTATTACATAACGACATAAATTAGGACTGTTACTATGTGTAGAATCTCTGACACTGACACCCGGCAAGCTTCAGAGCCTTGTGCAAGGCGGTCTGGCCCGAGATCTTGTCTTGCACGTTAACATTCGCACGGTGCTCCAAAAAGATGCTCCTTATCTGGGAAGGCAACACCCACGAGGAGCAACTGACAAACTCGGGGATGTGAAAGCTGCGTCGCGGAGTCTCAAGCAGCCTGGACTGCGCACAAAGTGCCATTGGTGCCAAGAGACATAAGCTGAGAATTGCCTGTCTGGGCTGCCTTGAGCAGCAAGGGCTTCTCGCTGCTGCTCAGGATATCCTCCGCAAGGCAAACTTCCGTCAGATGAGGGTATCCGTGTTCCAGGGTGGTTCTATACATGAAGTATTCAGACGGCCTTGCAACCCTCGCTGAGACCTACAAGCTGTGTAACTAATGCCATGCTGAACCGGCTAAGGTCTGCATGATCAGGCACTCATCCCCCAGCCGGTGTGTAAGTTTACACTGCCGCGTCCTCCCAACTCCCAGCCGCCAACTTCAAACAATAAGGTCAAGAGCTCCACGTCACATTGTAGATGGGGAGAAGTAGATCGGGACTCATCATCTTTTGTGGCCCATACTACAAGCGGCTAAGCTCTGAAGGCTAGTTTTGCCAGAGGAAAAAACCTACGGGGACATATTACAGCAGCTTATAAGCTCTCCTGAAATAAGGATATCTCCCTGTCCTAAGTCGGCCCAAACCTGCCAGCCCTGCCTGCAGCTGCTTCGTGGCATCCTTCCCCAAGTGGTCCTTTGGCGAAGCAAAATGGTTAAAGGGTGATAGACACGAGGATAGCTGGCTCTGGAGCTGGGGCTCCGGGCAACTCCGATTTTTTGGCCATAAATAGAACCCACAATGGCTAGTAACGGCTAGTACTATAAGGACAACGCCGCACTTTGCAACATTCGGCATGCATCGCTCCAGAATCCTGAAAGCGGTCCTTGCCCCACTTTAAGATGTTCCCAGCTCTCTTCACAGCCTCCGTTCCAGTATCGGCCACAGCCGCTGCAAGCTCCCGCGCGACTTCGAAGGTGCGGTGTCCGCTACCCTCCTGCTCTCTGGCTTTTGCGTCTACCCAAGACACCCTGTTCTCTGCAAATTTGAATGCTAGGATTAGCTTCAGGGTCCGGAGGTGGTTCGCAATGATTCGGGTGAACGATCTGTGTGCTGGAGGCCTCAGGCTACAAGAATTCCACCCCCTGAGCCACTCCTTGATGTAGATCATGCCAGCGACATTCAGCCTGGAGGCTCAGAGATGCATGGATTGAATCTTTGAATGGCATAGAGATGGAAGGGTGTTCCTGCAGGAGGTCCACCACACACTAGACTCTAGACATGAAGGGTTTTGTTCGGCCATGTTGCAGACGCTGCAGGCTGCCATCGCTTTGGCAGCGCTAGCGAGTTTAGGGCAGCCTGGCAACTGGAGCTCGCAGACAATGTCGCTGATCCGCACTGTGAGCTGCAGGTCGCGATAGCCACCATCCAAGGGATGGAAGTACCTCGGCCAGCCAAGCCCAAGGGACCGGAGTTCGAGACTGGAGGCAGAAGGGGTGCGGAAGCTTTGGCGTTCAAGGCCCAAGGGCAACACGCCGGGGTGCTGCAGCTCCGAAGTGCCAGCCCACCCCACTCGTTGCAAACCCTCAACACCTCGAAACTCCTGCACCACCAGTTCTGAACACGACAGTGAGCACGTCTAGCAGAGCCATCGAAAATCATGAAGCCCTGCGGAGCACTACAATGCCCTAGACAGGCATCATCAGGGAACCGGGGGCATTGCCGGGCGATCCAAACTGAACCACGACTGTGCTTGCGTTTGATGGGCTTGAGAACAACGGCTCTGTGCCCTGCGTCTTGTGCAGGTCAACTTGTCTAAGTCGATATGCTTCTTGCTGCCGCCGTTTATGTGCCCACACGAAGACCCCCTTAAGCCTCCTAGTCGCTGCTCTGGTTTTGCAGCAACCCTCGATACAGGTGCCTGTCATTGAACTCCACAATCTCCAGGTCACCGTCCTGCTCCGACTCAGACTGAAAATCACAGAAACGGTTGCAAAGCAAGCTGATGGACCCCAGAATGAGGTTTCGGATTTTTGAAGTAGGATTGGGGTCGGCCGCAATCTGGCCAAGACGAGGCAGCGACGCCTGGTGCATGAGCTTCAGCCCCTCGTACATGTCGTCCAGGTTGCCATACACCACTGTGTCCCGGACGATGTCTGTCAACCGGTGCCTTATCAACTTCTTATCTGACACCACACAACCGTTGGTTACCTATCTATCTATCTATCTATCTATCTATCTATCTATCTCTCTGTAAATACGCATGTACGTGCGTACGCATGCACGTATGGATGTATGTACGTACGTACGTACGTACGTACGTACGTACGTACGTACGTACGTACGTACGTACGTACGTACGTAGGCATGCATGTATGTATGTATGCATGCATGCATTCATGCATGTATGTATGT